GCGCGCGGAGGGGCCGTCCCGCCGGCCGCGCAGCGCAGCGCAGGTGAGAGGGGCTGCGCGGGGCGGGCCCCGCACGGTAATTTTTAAGCAGCCCACCGGGCTGGGGCGGTGGGCGGATGCCGAAAGAGGGGGGAAAATAGGGGTAAAGGGGAAAAATATTATTAATGTTATTAGTGTTAATATCGCTATTGACGCTGTTGCTGCTCCCCCTTTCCCTGCCCGCCTTCCAGGCACTCCTCCGCGGTGCCAGGATTTCCCTGCAGCCGCCTTCCCTTCCCTTCCCTTTCCTTCCCTTCCCCTCGCCGCACGCCCGCCCCGCGCCCCCTCCCCGCCCGCCGGGCACTGACAGGCGGTCACAGGTGCCGCGAGGGGCGGCCCCGGCGCCGGCCTCGCTCCCGGCTGCTCCTCCGCCTCCTCTGGCCGCGCCGAGCCGAGCCTAGCTGAGCCGAGCCGAGCCGAACCGTGAGTGCGGAGCGCGGCCGGGTGCGCGGCCGGGAGCGGCCCCGACAGAGGCGCCCGGGCGCGGCCGAGTYCGCGCGGGGGTGATTGGAGCGGCTGGAATTCGGGGTGCAAATCCGCCTCCCCGTGCCTTATTATTACTATTATTATAATATTTTTTCCTGCTGAAGGTGAGGGTCGCGGCGCGGGCGGGCGCGGAAAGCGGCACGGGGAGCGGTGCGGGCGGGCGCGGGGAGGTGGCGCGGGCGGGCGCGGAAAGCGGCGCGGGCGGGCGCGCAGCGAGGCCGCCGCGCACACAAAGGGCGCGCGGGGCTACCGGGAGCAACGCGGTTTATTTTAGCTGGAAAATCAGGATAGAAAAGAAAATATGAAGCGCCCGAAATAGAGGAAGTAATTAATGTAGGGCTTGCGTCATGGTGGGGTTGTTGCCCTGGCTTAAAAATAGGGAGAGGGCTTATTGTGAAGTGTTCGGTGTGACACATGTGGTCCCCGCCTTTTATTTGCTTATTAATATTTGGSAAGGCGAGGAGAGCGCCAGCGAGTGAAATTATTCACATGCAGACGGTTCTTCTCGGTTAAATGCAGGCTGTGAATATGTGACATTGTGCAGCAAGGCATTGAAAAATATTCTCGGGGGCTTTAAGGTAGCGGAATCTCAAGCGGAGCAATTCTTGAGCCGTGTGCTCTCATCCGGATGGTGAGAGAAAGGACAGGGATACCAAAAAAGGCATYGCGATGCTCCATTCAATTCCAGGAGCAGAATTTCCCCTTCCCTACAGGAAAGGACAGCGCGTTGTTGGAAGCAAGAAGTGACAGATGTGGCATCTTAGCAACTGGCCGCACATAAAAGCGGGTGTCAGCAGGTGATTATTGTCACAGGGATTTGCTTTTAAAGCGTTTTGGATGGGGAGGGTCCGGCTTATTTTAGGGCTAGCCTTAAGATTTGCTTCAGCTCTGTGGTGTGTTAAAAATAGGTTTTCAGCAGAGGCGTTCGGAAAGGTAACAGCAAATTCCCGTCTTCAAAACATTCCATGCTTGAAACATTTGTTTTTTATTAGAGCACACAAGGCGAGAGGAACTGAACAGGTCCTTCCGCCGGTAGGACGGTGTTGAAGGAAACCATTCCTCCCGGCCCCACTGCGAGCAAATGGTGTCGTGGAGGAAGCAGCGAGGCCTGTCTCTTGCTTAGGTTCAAGATAATCACGGTCACTGTTCTCTGGGAGATACCTGTCCCCACAGAGGTGGAAGTTGGTCTGAGTCACCAGCCGTGATGGCTTTGGGGAGGAAAGAGCTGGAGATGGCCCAGGAGGTGGCCCTGGCCGCGCTGTCCTGGGCTCGGGGGCTGCGACCAGTGTCACGCTGACTTCAATGTGGTGCTATGAAACCGTTCTGCTTACACCAGCCTTGCGCTCGCCGAGAAAGCCGTCGCTCTCGGCAAACCTTGCTGGGTGTTTCTGTACCGAGGTACAGCGAACACCTCATGGGTTTATCATCTTCTAAGCTGGATGGCTCCTTGTGGAAGAAGAGCTGGTTCTCTGCCCAGGTCTTGAGCAGGAGCACAGGGCAGGGGAGGGAGCTGCACAGCCTCCGAGCATGAGTTTCCTTCGCCTGGGTACCTGCTCGCCGGGGTCTCTTCAGCTCCGCTTTTCAGTGGCCTGGTTTCCCCAGAGCTTTTCACTACGCTGCTTACGTTACCTTTCCACTCTCTTCCCCCTTTCTTTTCTTATCAGGATCAAAGCACAGTGGTTATCTGCTCTCGAGACGGAAGCCTCTCGGGAGAGCAGGACAGTCGAGCCGGCTGGGAGTGGGTGCCCGCTCCGAGCAGCGCTGCCACAGAGCCACAGCCCCGCGGTATCGCGATGGGGTATCGTGAAAGGGTATCGCTGCAGGGTATCGCGATGGGGGGCAGCAGCCTGAACGTCTTTCCTATGGGTTTGCTTCCAGCAGCAAGGTGAATCATCCCCAAATCCCCCATATGAAGGTCTCTGAGGAAGAGTTCTTGGCAGCTCTTGGTCCAGAAACAGACAGTTTTTATGTGATTTTTATGTGATTTATTCTCACCGCAGGACATGTTAGTGACTGGCTGGTGAGAGCAGCTCTCTGGTGCTGATGGACCTGCCTGGGTGGGTGTGAAGCACCCCCCACTCAGGGGCAGAGGGGTAGAATCAGGTGCCACTACTGAGAGCCAGACCAGGTCATGTCCGTGTTGGAGGAGAACCTGGAATGACCTGATGTGCTGACCTCAGAGAAGACCCCTTTCCGGTGCTAAGTAGGAGATATTTGTGAATGACATTCTTGACGATGATCATTGCTTGTGGTATTTTACAATGTTCTGAATTGACATTCCTCATGTTTCTGAGCAAAGCTGGTAACGCAGCCTGGTAACTGCAGGGAAATAGGGGTAAGAGGAGGCACTTGGGAATCAGCCAGCGAGAGGGCCGGTTTACAAGGGAAATCTCATGGTGGGGTGAGAGGCGAATCGGGAGACACAAGCTTCATGAAACACACGGCTGAAATAAACTGAGAAAACAGCAAAAGGACAGAGCTGCCCAGAGTAACAGCTGTTTATACCTTAACTTGCATTTCCTTGGTGTTTATGGAATAAGTAAGTCAGGTGTTGGAAAAAAATTGCTTGTCTTCCACTTCTGACACGAGTTAAGTTTGCAGGAACGCAGTTAATAATTTGTGTAAGCATCTATCTTTTGAGGGGCCGGGAAGTGTTGAGTGTGCTTTACCTATTTCTGTTTTATTTGAAGCGGAGGGTAAGCTTTTGTAGGCCGAGCCTACGTTGGGGTAATGCACCATACCTAAAGCTCTGAAACTGGGAAAGTGATAGCTGAATGCTCAAAATAAATCATTTCTTCATGGCCACAATAGCTTTTTATGTGAGAGCGTTTATTGACAGCATGCTTAGCCGAAGTAATTTAAAAGACTGTTATACTTATCTTTGAAATTATGCAGTTGCACAATGCTCATAAAACTTGATGACTGGCCTCTCGTGAATGCCACGGAGCAGAATTAAGGGTTCTAGCCCTGGCCGTCTGCGTGGGGCGTGCTGGTGTGGGTCAGCAGCACGCAGCTTAGCCAGCCTCTGCGTTGCGTTACCCTTGTTTGCGTGCCCTGGGTAGCAGCAGAAAGCCCCATGTGGCTGCCGCGCCGCKCCGGGGCCTGCCACGCAGGTCAGCACGCAGCGCCCTACACCGTTATCGGAGGAGAAGGGATCTGAGGTGGGATGAGCCCCTCGGTCCTGGTGCCCTGGCCCCTTTGGAGCGAGCTGGGCTCGTGCATATTGCAACCATCCTTCTGCAGAGACACCGCTGGGCATGACAGGCCTGGCTCGCTGAAGCCGCCAGGTAGGACCTGCCCAAGCAGGTCTCTGCACAGCTGCCCAGATGTGCTCAAATTCATTTTTTTWAAAAACAACCTATGGAAAACTTTCAAAAAGAAATGCATACTCATGTCTTTTTCCTAAGAARATCCAAACAGCAGGGCTTACTGTATCTTTTTTTATTCTCTCCCTTTGAAATACCAGGTGTTTCAAGTCTGACTCTCACTGTTTTGCTCTAGATTTTTTTTGAGTGTCTGAATATTTTTATTGTGCCTTAAACAAAGGAAACAGGTGTTGAATGGTCATTCCAAGTTTGTTTTTTTTTTTTTTCTAAAAATATTAGGCACTGGCATAAAAATAGCAAATAAAACCAAGATGTTAATCTGCAAATTTCATTTTTTCCAGTTAAGATTTTAAGAAGTCTGTACAGTGTAATACCAAAATGAAAGAAATCCCCAAATCTATGTGAAAGCTTGGTGCAAGCAAGTATCTAGAGGCAGGAAAATGCCCGTGAAAAGTGCAGACACAGTTTAAAGTGATTATGGTCGTGTRTCATTTCTCATAGCTCTCTTCCCTCAGCAGTATGTGGGGTGAATGAGGTAGGAAAGGAAAGGAAAGGAAAGCCCTGTTGGAAGTGCCAGGCTAAGGCTGAAGGTCCTGGGTCGGCTCTGTCATACTCCTCTTAGGTGTTGTTGGGCAACGTTTTAATGCAGATGCATGAAGGAACCAAATGATGGTTGCATAGGGAGTTTAATCTTGGGATTTCTTAACTTTGCATTCTTTGACTTTGCAACCGCAGTGTTTTACGTATGAGATTTCTAATTATGGGGTACAGAACTCACAGTGATACTCTGCAAGGAGGATCAAAGGTGCTTTGCTGCCATCGCCGTCACCCGTGAAGTGTTTATCCAAAGCTCTTGTGAAACGAGCTTCCCTGCCAGCAGAGCCTTCTGCCGTGATCTTCTCGGGGAGGAACTCGGATACCTGCAAGGATATGAGTAATGCTGTTTGCAGCCTTTGGGAGGAAGCAAAGCTGGGAGAAAGGCAAGGCAGGAAGGAGATGCTAGGCTAGACTTCAGGCGCAGGATCTTCAGTGAAGAAGAGGTGAATAGTTCCTGATTTGGTGAAAACTCTGTTTCTCCAGCTCTAGCAAAGCCTCTCGTTGACTTTTAAGAGCACAGTTCTCTCGTTTCATTTGAGGGTGAGCTCCTCTGGAGCTGAAGGTTTCCTTAAGGCTCAAGGGCTACTCCAGTGCCAAGTGATAGATAGGAGCATAATGCCAGTATTGCTGCTTTGCCACCATCAACCATTTACATTCTTGCCTTTTTTTTTTTTTTTTTTTTTTTTTTTTTTTTTTTTTCTAGTCTTTTAAATTGTATTGGTGAATATGTTGT